GTGGGCTCCCGCAAGGCTTGGGAACGGCTTCCTACCAAAGAGCGCCTGCCACCACTGTCCCAGGCCCATAAATGCCTCTCCCAAACCCACACTCTCCGGTCGGACTGCTGCTGATATAGCCACGGTGCTTTTAGTGCCTTTAATAAACACTTCTCTGCAAGTGCCGGCTGTCTTGGGGCCTGTGGTTTTGCCAAGCGAGGTGTGGCCAGCTGGGAAGGTCACACTCAGCCCTCGCCCCACTCCCCCCGGGCCTGACTCAGCTCCCTGCAGCTTTCTGGAGGAAATCTTCACCTCGGATTTCCCCTCCTCTGCCTGTGTCGGCCTGGGCTGGACCCCTCATGTCACCTGGGTCATCCCTCTCTTCATAGCAGGCAGGACCGCTAACAGAGGTGGTAATTAATCTGGGGGGCAAAGCTGCAGCAAGGGGAAATGGGGCAGATGTCCAACCCTGCAGGGGGGGTCCCTGCTTACCCAGTGGTGTCCCCCAGTCCCTGCTGTGCCCTGGCCCCGAGTCCTGCGCAGAGGACGAGAAGTCATGGGGCACGCGTGGGGCACGTGCACTGGCTCTGGGCGTGCTCCGGCGTAGAGCAGCCAAGCATTCGCTCATGCGATGCAGCTGCCGTCCCAAAGGACGGGTGCGAGGCTGCACCAGCACCTCCGGCTGGAACGGGCTTGGGGGCAGTGGGTGTGGGGAAGAGCTGCTCCTCCCGCTCCGCTCTGGCAGCTGGAACGGTCATTAATAATTGCAGCTCTTACCACGATGAGCAATTGTAAGGAAAATTGTCTTGCTGATCTACTGGAAGGTTCTGCCGGGGGCAGGAGCTGGCTGCAGGAAGGCAAATGCCTCCCAGCATCACCCAGAGTTGGCCTGCGGCTGCGGCGCCACACGTGCCCGGTGCCAGCTGCAAGAGTGCAAAACCCTGTCAAAGATGGGGAGGGGAAAGCGGGAGTGATGGAGGCAGGCTGGGGTCGGGCCGGGCGCTCGGGCTGGGGCACATGCAGGCGATGGGACGGTCACACTGAGGAGCAGCAGGACACGGCTGTGAAAAGGGACAGAAATGAGCTGCGGAAAGGGCCAGGACGAGCAGGGATGTGGTAAGTACCCGAGCGTGAGTCCCAGCTGCGCAGCCAAGGTCAGGGGAAGCACAGGGGAAGGTGAGGCAACTGCGGCCCCATGTGAGCAGCCACCGAGCCAGCCCTGGCTCAGCCAGGACAGCAACCCATGAGTGGAGGGCAGGGAAGGGGAAGGGGCAGGGGGAGGCAGCCGTGCGGGACGGAGCCTGCTGGAGTAGCACAGCCTGGGAACAGGTTGTGCCAGCTCAGCCCCCAGGGTACCTGGCCTTGGAGCAGGGCCAGGGCAGAGCTGCGGTGCCGCAGCCAGCCTACCTCTCCCCAGGGGAGAGCCAAGCATCTCCCTTCTGCTGCTGCAAGGCCTGCTCCCACTGGGGGCTCAGCCCCTTCTGGTTGGCGCCCTGTTGCTTCGGGTCCCTACTGATGACGCCTTTACCACCCAAGGTGCCTCTGCGCTTTGCCGAGAGCCGCTCTTGCCCACCAGCTCTGCGCACCATGCGAGGAGCTTGTGCACAGGCAGCGGAAGGAGGGTCTCGGGTGGGCTGCGGAGGTGGAGCCTGGGGAGGGGCCACAACCGCACTGCTCGGAGAACAAAGCCTGGCAGCGG